AACAACCAATGGTGGCCTGGTCAACAAGTTACCTTACAACTATTCTTTTCCTTCCTGCTCCTTCCTCTCCCCTGCATACGTTTTCCCCATTAAGTTTATTGGTACATTTGAAGCCAACAATAGTTACATTTATCATTGGGATCGTGAACCCCTACATGCTAGGTCTTGGTTCTCATTTCCTCCCCATACCCCTGGCCTCTCTTCACCCGCTTCACCCTTCTCCACTGGATACTACAGCCAGGGGAGCTCTAACCTACACCCCCAGCCCTTGGTTTAACTTTATTTTGAGACAGGGTCTCACTAGGTTACCCGGGCTGACCTCAAAATTGTGATTCTTCCTCAACTTCCGGAGTAGTTGGAATTACAAGCTTGTGCCATTTTCCCTGGCCAAATTTTTCTTTGATGTTGTTTTCTTTTAAATCTTTGAAAGAAAGATGTAAAGTTGAAACCAAAAAATCTCTTTCTTTTTTCCCTCCCTCGTCCTTTTTATCTTTCCCTTAATTGACACATTTATTGATATCCTCTGGGATGTGCTGTCCTGTCCTCAAAGCCAGGACAACTATAACAAGTGTAGTTCTGGTAAAACAGTGAAAGCAAAAGCTATCATGTGTTTGTTTGACTGTTTGTCTGTTTTTTGCAGTACTGAAGATTGAACCTAGGTCTTGTGCACTGAGCTATATCCCTAGGCCTTTTTATTTTTTACTGGACATAGGGTCTCACTGACTTGTCCAGCCTGGGCTCAAACTTGTGGTCGTCCTGTCTCAGCCTCCCAGAATGCTGAGACTATAGGTGTGTGCAACCACTCCCAAGTTCTTCTTGCATTTTATTGAAGATACTCATGAAAAATCAACACAAGTGGATTTATCCTTCTGGATCTAATCAGAAAAGAGAATCCATGGAGTTATTTGAACACAGAAAGTTAATATTAAGAATTTTAGCTGGATACAGTGGTGTACATATATAGTCCTAGCAATTTGGGAGGCTGAATCAGGAGAATCTCTTTAGCCCAGTGTTGGGCAGCATAGCAAGACCCTATGTAGTGCAGTGGTAGAGTTTTGCATACCATGTGAGGCTCTAGGTTCAATCCCCAGCACCAAATAAATCTTAAAAAACAGATGTTATAGGCTCAATAACTCTCTCCCACACCCCCATTCATGTACAGAAGCCCTAAATCCCAGTAAGTTAGAAAGTGATTTGATTTGGGGATAGGGTCTGAAAGAGGTAATTAAGTTAAAACCAAGGTGACCAATAAATATCTAAAATAGGGTTCAAACACTGTAAATGCAAGGAGAGAAAAAGCAAACATGCTTACATGTTTTAAGCTTTATCAGCAATCTGAAGAAAGAGCAGCAGGTTAAAAAAAAAAAACAGCAACAGGGGGTAGCACGGCTCAGTCTCTATATTTAAATGCTTTATTTTTTGAAACCTTGAGAGCTTTGCCCATGAGACATTTTTTCCTTCCTAAGTTTCACTGACAATTATAATTTTCCAAACTGGGTGTCACAGAACTATATATACACCATGGCACAGGATTTTTTTCATTTGTTTGCTTCAAAGTTCCTAACATAAAATTTACGAACAAATAAAGTGATGGCTGCTCTGTAACTCCTCCTGGCATGGATCTCCACAGAGGGCGGCGTCCCTGTGTCACTGTTCTATCCCAATACGCGCGCAGACCACAGCCTGCTCACACCCTGACACGGCCTGTGGCTGTGGGCCTTGAGCAGAAATGACCTGTGCAGCCTCTCTCCAGCATGCTGTGGGGAGACAGAGGGAGCGCATGTGGTAGGCAAACGACCAGGAGATAAAGTTCCCTGCAATTCTAAGGCTGGAGCAGCGCTGCCCTGGAGAGTGGACAGAGCCTATAGTAGCCTTTAGGGGTTGCATGGTAAAACTTGGGGGTTCTGTGTAATCACGGCACAATGTCACCTGTCTCCACCAATATGTCTTCCTTTCGTTTACTTTCTTCTTCTTCTTTTTTTTTTTTTTTTTTTTTTTTTTTTTTTTTTTTTATTGCTCTTAGTTCAGGTTGGTCTTAAACTCACTATGTAGCCCAGGCTGGCCTCAAACTCACAGCGATCCTCCTGCCTCGGCCTCCCAAGTGCTGGGATTACAGGCGTGCACCACCACACCTAGCTCCCTTTGGTTCTCTTTCATTAGGCCTTGTATAGGGCTAAGTAGGGGCAATGATTAGCTTTAAGACTCATGTGTGGTCCCTGAAATCTGCAGGATTAAAATATTAGATGATTTCCCAGTAATAATTTTAAAACATAAATATTTCTTAGCCTCAAAGATCTTAGACAATGTTGTTCCTGTGATTCTTTTTGTCTTAGATATTTGTTTTTGTTTTGTTTTTTGGGTACCTGGGTCCTTGCGCTTGTGAGGCAGGCGGTGGAACCACTGAGCTAAATCTCCCGGCCCTTGCCTTAGATATTTCAGTAATAACAATTTAAGCAATAAAGGTGGGTCTTCAAGTGATCCTGAGTTCTTTAGCTTTTAGGAAGTCACAGCGAATTGAGTTATCAGAAGTTATGTCAATAACACCCCCATCCTAGCTTGTACTTCTCTCAAAGAATCTTAAACTTTCATATATTCTTTTTTTTTTTTTTTTTTTTTTTTTTTTTTTTTTGGTACCAGGTATCGATCTCAGGACCTTGTGACTGCCAGGCAGGTGTGGTGCTACTGAGCTAAATCCCTGGGCCCCTATGTTCTAGACATACAAGTACACATGCTAGGTAGCCACTCAAACCTTAGGATGTTTTAGTATTTGCATCTTACCTTCTAAAAAAAAATATTATTTTCTGGCAGTGAGTGGGATTTTCCAGCTCTAAAACTAGTTTCAGAGGTATATATTGGCTTTTAGCCCTCATATTGTTTAAGCAACTATTTCTATTAATTAAATGAAGCTGTTTTGGAAAATGTTATTCTATTTTAAAAAAATCATGATTCTAGGATCCTCAGCATCACCTTGGTCATCTCAGAGCTTGTAAACCCTGGCATGAGTGATATTTGTGAAGGATAACTGTTGTGAGGGGTATCTTGTGTGCTGTAGAAGGTTGAGCAACACCCCTGGCCTCTAACCACCCAGCTTCCGGGCCAATGACACACCTGGCCCAGTTATGACAACCAAATCTGTCTCTTGGCATTGCCAGTGTCCTCTGTGATGCAAATTACCTCCAGTTGAGAATGCAGATTTTACTGCTACATGCTACGGAATGATAACAATCTAAAACACATATTGGAGGGCAGGGAAGGGTCAGCACTTGTATGAGAGCCTGGTTTCCATCCCCAACACTACCAAAAAATAGAATATTAAGCTTGTATAAAAAACAATCAAGATCAATATTTAAGAATGAACCTAGTAGATATTTTAATGAATGCAATGGTCCTGCCATTCTTTATTTTCCATAATAATACATTGGAATTCTATCATTCCAATACAATTGGAATTGTACATTTTAAATTCTGATTATACATATTTTTACCATTGAATAATAAAAGAATCGCTTAGTACTTCTAAAATACCTTCAGTGTCTGAGGATACAAATTACAATATGATAAACATTTAAAAACTGGCGTAAGCTGGGGGAGTTAGCCCAGTGGTTCTGCCTCCTGCCTCGCAAGCTCAAGGACCCAAGTTCAATCCCTGGTACCAAAAAAAAACAAAAAAAAAACTGGAGTAAGCTCACTTCAAGATGAAAGACACTAGAACCCAGTAACAGTGATGAAATAACATCATTGGAGATAAGAGAGCTTCAGAGACCTACCTATCTTCACCACAGATTCACAATCAACCCAATCTTTACACCTACACTTTAGAAATGTGGGTGCAAAAATATATGAAAGAGAAACCTCCACAGGTTTTGCAGAGCTAGGAGGACTTAACTTTAGGCCAGGTGTAGTGGCGCACACCTGTAATCCCAGCTCTTGGGAGGCTGAGGCAGGAGGATCGCTGTGAGTTCGAGACCAGCCTGGGCTACATAGTGAGTTCCAGGTCAGTCTCAACTATGTAGTGAGACCCTGTCTCAAAAGAAAAAAAAACAAAACAGAGAATTTAACTTTAGAAGAATACGTGAAATAGTTTTTTTCCTTAAGAGGCCTTGAAAAAGTTGTACCCTGATGTACTATAAAGGAAGTGAGGTAGGCCGGGGGTTTAGCTCAATGGTACCGCCACCTGCTTTGCAAGCACAAGTTCCTGAGTTCAATCCCCAGTGCCAAAAAAAAAAAAAAGAAAGAAAGAAAGAAAGTGAGGGCCAGGATGTAACTCAGCGGCACAGCATGAGGCCCTCAGTTTGATTCCTTGCATCAAAAAAAGGAGTGAGTGAGTGAAAGTTCTTTTCTGATTTCAAATAATAATTTTCATTTTTGTAAAATAATCATTTTTTTAAAACAATGATCAATATCTTTTTTTTTTTTTTTTTATTTGACACCTGGGATTGAACTCAGGTCCTTGTGCTTACAAGGCAGGTGGCGGAACCACTGAGCTAAATCCCTGGTGATTAATATCTTTTTTTAAAAAAGCTAAAGGCACAATGAAACAATGAATATTTGAAGCCAGGCATAAGTGGCACATACCTTATAATCCCAGCAACTCAGGAGGCTCAGACAGGAGGATCGCTGCAAATTCAAGGCCAGCCTGGGCTTCATAGTGAGATCCTGCCTCAAAAACAAAGCAAAAAAAAAAAAACCAAACAAACAAAAAAACCCAAAACCCAACCCAAAGTGAAACAATGAATATCTACATTTCACCCCTCTAGAACTAAAAATAATTCAGAACTCAAAATAATCCAGGTGGCCAGCACCTAACTTTTCCTTTAGATGGCAAAATTATCATAAGAGGAATTCAGGGACAAGATTCAGAACTGTTATACTGTGGTTACGCATGGTAGATGACCCAAGCTTCAGTTAAAATATACTTTTTTAAAGTTTGAAATTTAAGATTTAATTTTTCAGGTTTTACAAATGTAAAAAAAAAAAAAAATGCCTTTTTCGGGGGCGGGGGGCGTACCTGGAATCAAACTCAGGACCTAGCGCTTGCCAGGCAGGCACTGTGCCACTAAGCTAAATCCTCAGCCTAAAGATGCATTTTTTATTGCTCTAAATGAACCAAGATTTATTGTCTGCATAGTAGGTACTAATATTCAACAATATTTTCTCCTATTTTTCAGTGGCCAGATTTTTAGTTCAATCGTTACTTCTCTTTCCCGGCAAGTTTTGCTTTATTGTATGATCCATCCAAATTGAGGAAGAGAGATTGTGAAATACGAAATAATCTGTTATTATCTGTCAGCAGCTGAGAAAAGCAAGTTTAAAACCCATGTCTAAAATGGAGATTATGGCTCAGGGCAAGGGTCTGTGATTGCTGCTGAAATTGGTGTAGTGGTTACTTTTGTGGGCTTGTAGTTGTTGACACAACACAAAAGCACAAATGGGGTAGCTGGCAGAGTTCTAAAAGATTGTTTCTTTTAATAATACATAAGGTTATCAATTTTATGTCTAATCTTTAGTTTTGTATTTTAGTTCATAATTTTTAAAAGGTTGAAATTAAAAACAGAGCCCTTGGAGATTCCACTAAGAAGTATGGACGTAAATGTTTCCGTAAATATCAACGGATGGTTCTAAAGAAATTATCTATATTATGGAAATATTTCTAAATAACAAGCTACAAATATTTGAAAAATATTACGTTCCTATGCACGAATATAAAAAGTCAAAGCATTAAGTACACATTGCTAACACAAAATTTATTGTTACAGTTTTACGTAATATGATTTGGTTAAGTGATCTTTGTTAACTTCAGAATTGTCCTGTCCTATTCCCATACAAAATTATTCCTGTTATTCTGTTAGAGATTGGAACAAGAGCATTGAAAGAAGTTTCATCTTTCCTTGACTATCGGCACGCTGTTTCTCTCTCCGTCTACTTACACAGAACAAAGATTAGTTATCTCGCCCACCCCGTGGTGGCAGACATTAATATGAAGCATTACACCTAATGTCACCCGATTTGCACATAGAGCTTCTCCACCTTCCTACTCAGCCTGTGTTTCTCCTATGTAATGATGACCGATGGAGTCTGTTTCTCGTTAAACGTCTAAGAAGCTCAGAAACACAAGCCAGAAGGAAACCATCAAAATGAAAGCAGTTTTCTAATGCAATACAACAATAAGCATGGACAGACTTATAACTGGGTTGTACATTTCCCCCATCAAACATTGACAATTTTCCTCCAACTGTTCAAGCAGCATCTGAAATGGCACAATTGAATGCTCCACTTCCCTTTTCTATTTGTAAAATTATGTGGTGTTCGAATGATTCACATATTCAAGAAGCGACTGGTCTAAGGCTCTTCGGATAAGAGCTTCCTCAATTATATTAAAATCCTACAATAAAAAAAAATAATCAGAAATGTACAGAATCAATTGTGTTTCAGCAATTGCAGGATGAGGGTCAATGTAACACCCCCATTTTGCAGGAAATTAAAGCCCTGAGTTAAATGACCTGTTGAAGATTCCACAAATCCTTGGGACTTTTGCTTTGAGGCCAGTACGTATTCTATTTCACTTTACACCCTACGAATGAACTAGTTACTACCATACTAAAATAGTCTTGGTTTGCAATATAAAGTTCTTATCTGACCCAATTAGCAGTTTTTATTCAACATTCCAGAATTTGTTACTTTTTTTTTTTTTTTTTTTTTGGTACCAGGAATTGAATTCAGGGCCTTGCACTGGCCAGACAGGCACTGTACTGCTGAGCTATATCCCTGGCCAGTATTCCAAATCCTGGTGAGAGTGCTAAATTTCACACGAACACATTGCATGGGTAATGTTCAGACATTCCCTAGTTGTCTGGGCGGTAGCTCAGTGGTATGGCATTGTCTAGCATGTGCAGGACCCTGGGTTTGATCACCAGCACCTCAAAATCAAAGCAAAACGCAAAGCACACATCTCCTAGGATTCACCACGTCAGCAATGCCATTAAATATCTATCTGTAAAGCCAGGGATTTAGCTCAGTGGTTCTGCCACCTGCCTCGCAATCGCAAGGTCCTGAGTTTGATCCCAGGTACAAAAAAAAAATTGCAAACAGGATTCTCCCCTTGCCTGCCTATGTGTCCAAATGGAATTCAATACTTTATATTAGCACATCCCTATGTAAAACAAAAGTTAGGAGCCCTATCCTCTGCAATCGCTCTCCTTTTCCACAATAAACATATGACAAAAAGTGAAATCTCTACTGGAAATCCATCCTAAAACAAGGAAATAAATGAAATTGAAAGAAAGCCATAAAGCACAGGGTCTGGATTTTAACACTGGCTTGTTCTTTTTAAGCACTTAAGACTTGGAGCTTCAGCTATTTCACAGTTAAATGAAGATGAAAATACAGTATTCACCTCCAGAAGTTACTCTCCAGAAAAAAATGTACTAACTTGGTACATGGTAGCTTAGGCCAAAAAAAAAAAATCAAAACGAAGACCACTACACTTCAAGTTCACTTCCATACTCAAAAATATGGTTTTGAATGGCTATAAAGTACTCTCAACAAATTGGCTTTCTCCGATTCTGGGTCATACTCTGGAAGACCTGGAGAACAGCCTGAACACAATTCCCTAGAACAGGCATCGAGTTAATCTTGCCTATCACATATGCCTGAACTGTGCAAATAAATCGTTTTCTAAGCACTCTCTAGTTTAATCCTCACAAGAGCTTTTGGGAGTAGGTGTTTTTACTCTCCCCATTTCACAAATGAATAAACTGAAGTTCGGAGGTTAAATGCCTTCCATAAACCCGCAGGGCTGGGACAGAGCTACTACTTAAATCCAGGTCAGCACCCAAGCTCCTTGGGTCCAAGCTGGGTAATCACAAGGGACAGCTCAGAAATGGAGAACATCTGGGCATGTGGTGTAGGCCTGCAATTCAAGCCCTTGAGAGGCTGAGGCAGGAGAACTGCCAGTGTGAGGACAGCCTGAGCTACATAGGGAGTTCAAGGCCAGCCTGGACTAAGGAGTGAGACCTTGTCTCAAAAAAAATAGGGAAGGGGGAGAAAATTTTTAAATGCTAATCTTCAACAACATCATCTTAAAAGTGCACAAGAAAACAGTCAGAATCAGCAAAAATTATTTGAGAACATGGCTAGAAGTGATTTTCTCCCTGTAACAGGCAATAATCTTTTGTTGAAAGGTACTTATGGGACAATGCCATATCCCTGAATGGCAACATATGCACCAAAGTAGAGCAAAGGCTATGTTAACTTTTTGTTTACTTACAAATATCATTTCTCATAATGAAAAATATAATATATATATATGCACCTGTATAAGCTTAAGCATATATAAGCACTTATGTATCATTATATATAAGAACAAGTTTTAAAACTATTTATAGGGCCAGGGATTTAGCGCAGTGGTTCTGCTGCCTCCTGACTCGCAAGCACAAGATCCCGAGTTTGATCCCCGTTACCAAAAAAAAAAAAAAAAAAAAACTAAAATATACACCTGCAATCCCAACACATGGGAGGCTGAGGCAGGAGGATCGCTGTGAGTTTGAGGCCAGCCTGGGCTACATAGTGAGTTCAAGCCCAGCCTGAACTAATAACGAGACCCTGTCTCAAAAAATGCAAAAAAAAAAAAGCAAAATGAAATGAAAAACAAAACACACACAAAAAAATTCTATTTGTATGACATAATTTTCATCCATCTTGTTAAAACAAGAATCGCTATGAGTGGGATATTCAGGCGAGGTCCCAAGACCAAGGTGAGGTTCAATGTACTCTCTACAATTGTGTATGAAAGCAACCGGACGCGGAGGTCTGAGCAGGTTCATTACTGATGTGATTTCATCTCTGCTATAAAAATTCACAATGTCATTAAAACTGTAACTCAGAAGGGAGGAACTAGAATAAAAATTTAAACAACTTAAAGGCTAAGTCTGGCCATTTATATAATAATACCTGATTATATAAATCATAAGGAAAATAATTTGTTTTTGTTTTTGTTTCTGTTTGTGTGTGGTACCAGAGATCAAACTCAAGTCCTTGTGCTTGCAAGGCAGGCAGCGGAATCACTGAGCCAAATCCCTGCCCCAGAAAAATAATTTCATCCAAAGCAAAAAATTACTTTAGCATCAATAGTCAAATTTATAAGACACTATATTTTCATGATTTCCTATGTAATGCTAATATTTAGCACTTCAGCAATATACACAGTTTTCCTCTATAATTTTATCCACTTGGATTAAAAAAGTAAGCTTAACACAGCAGCACAAAAACAATGTAAAAGGAAAACGATATACTTACTATGAAGTCATCGTAAAACAAAGTATGGCTAACTTGCAAATGTCTGATTAAACTGCCATTGAAGCTGCCTGGATTCTCGTTTGGTATAAAACGGCAAAGTGGACAGAACTGGGAAGAAATAAGAGCAAGAGTTCAAGAAGGGATCTAAAAGAATTATTAACATAGAATATTTAAGAACGCAGTCATTCAATGTGAATTTTAGCTGGATCTAACGGTTCCCACCTGTAATACCAGCTACTTGCAAATTTTAGGTAGGCCGAGGCAACTCAGCAAGAATCTGTCTCAAAACTTAAAGAATAAAAATAAAGAGGAGCTGGAGATGTAGCTCAGTAGTAGAGCATTTATCTAGTGTGTGGGAAGCCCTAAGTTTAATCCCAGAAATACAAAATGAATTTTAACTTGTCTAGATCCATTTGCCATCTTAATACTGTGCTGTAAAATTTGCACAGCTACTATAAAAACAATGTTAAATAAACTTGCAGTTATTTTTTATGCATTTCTTTTCTATTTGAACGTATAACTGTTTCACGTGTACATATTTTAACAATATTACAGTTGATAGATGTATAATAACTTACTGAACTAGTTTTCTGTCTCGAAATATTTAAGACTTTTGTACTCATATATTTTGTTAGTGCAAATGATCTTTCTTGTTTTTTTTTTTTTTTTGCGCTTGCAAGACAGGCCACTGAACTGCTGAGCTAAATCCCCGGCCCAAAGGAAGTTTATTTGTTTCTTTTTCTGGTACTGGAGATCCAACTCAGGGCCTTCACACTGGGCTACATCTTTCTTTTTTTTTTGGTACCAGGGATTGAAGTCAGGACCTTGTGCTTGTAGAGGCAGCCATGGTGCCACTGAGCTAAATCCCCAGCCTGTAAATGACATTTTCTTTAATATTTACTTTTTGGGGGGATTATTTTCTTAGGATAAATGACCAGAAATGGAGATTCCTTGAGCCCAAGTGAATAATCCCAGCTCTTGGAAGGCTGAGGCAGGAGGATCACCACCAGTTCATGGCTTTCCTGAACTACATAGAGAAATCCTGTCTCAGAAAAGACAGAGAAAGCCTGAGCGAGGAGGACTTACAAGCTCAAGCCCAGACTCGGCATCTCAGAGAATTAGTGAGATTCTGTCTCAAAATAAAGTAATTAAAAAAGGTCTCAGGATGACTCTTAGTGTGAAGGTCCTGGGCTCAATTCCCAGTAAAAGAAAAAAAAATTTCATTTTGAGACATTTATAAACTCAAAAAGAACTTATAAAAACAACGCAGAAAGGCCCTGTGTCGCCATCACTTGGTTTCCTCAAATGGTAATGTATGAGGTTAACTACACCGTGTTGTCGGAACCCGGAAACTGGCAGTTAACTAGGCTCCAGACATTACAATTCACCAACCTTTACAGACACTCATTTTTGGCCTCTGGGTGTATTTTATGTGGCTTTATGAAATTTTATAAAACATTCACCTGTAGAGATGTGAAAAACCCCAGCAAAATCAAGACACAGATCTGTTCCCCACTACACAGGACTCCAGCGTGGAACACACTTGTACCTCCTCCTCCACCCCTAACCTCTGTGGAGCCATCTGTGCTTTTCCACAGAGCACAGTGACCTTTAGACCCACGAAGCAGCTTCTGTTACTGAGTAGCAGTAGCCCATGGTGAGGCGGTCTCATAGTCTGTTTACCCATTTCCTTCTGAAGCACATTCGGGTGGTTTCCAGGATGGGGTTGGGGTTGCTACAGATAAAACTAATGAGTATCTGTGTCCAGATGGCAGCATAAATATAAGTTTTCATTTCTCTAGGATGAATTGGAAGAGTTTGATTGCTTGGTCATATGGTAAAAATATGTTTAACTTTGTAAAAGGTAGACTGGCATCATGGAGCATTACCTGTAATCCCAACACTTGGGAGGCTGAGGTAGGAGGATAGCCTTGAGGCTAGCCTGGGCTACATGGAAGGAAGGGAGGGATGGCAGCATAAATATAAGTTTTCATTTCTCTAGGATGAATTGGAAGAGTTTGATTGCTTGGTCATATGGTAAAAATATGTTTAACTTTGTAAAAGGTAGACTGGCATCATGGAGCATTACCTGTAATCCCAACACTTGGGAGGCTGAGGTAGGAGGATAGCCTTGAGGCTAGCCTGGGCTACATGGAAGGAAGGGAGGGGGAGAGTGTTGTCCAACACGGCCCCCATTATGACTACATAGCTTCTACTTTAACAAATACAGTGATAGTCTCACGTTTTTGTGCTGCCCAGAAAGAAGTCCTTGTTGGTGAACTCCTACGGCCTGTTCACACTGCACAACAACGCACAGCAGACAAGGATGTCTGCCTGACCCAATGTGTGGGGCTGGCAGTTTAAGGAAGATTCTCATCACCCTCTCCTGTAGGTGCCTTAGTGTACCTCCCTCAGCCCCGCAGTTCACATTTTCTGGTCTTCAGCCTACTGATTCCAAAGTGTCTTTCCACAGCATGAATCTTCATCCATTGCTCCTTCCTGTCATGAAACTGACTGCCAAACATAACCAACATCAAGCTGGCTTTCTTCACCTTTGATTTATAGATGAGTAAAACAAAGACCAGAGATTTGCCTGCTAGGAAAAAGGGACAGATCTGACGTAAGATGCATTAGGGGAATTAAAACAAAACCATAGTTGTCACGGATGGGAATGATTCTTTGAGAGGGTATTTATTCTCTAAGTCTCCAGAATGTAGACTATTCAATGCAAGTCCACAAAGAATAAAACAAAAGAAAACCAGCACAGTCTTACTTCTGGCTTGCTTGTTCTTAAAAGTTTCAAATAGACCAACAGATTCTCAGGGTGGGGGTCCTCAAACCCAGGGCATCAGCACCACTTGAAATCTAGTTAGAAATGCACACTTTGGGGCTGATGGTACAGCTCCCCAGTAGCGGACTTGCAAGAGGCCCTGGGTTGAATCTCCAGCTCTGGGGGGAGGGGGAAGCAAGTGATCTGGTCCCATCCCTGACTCTCAAATCAGACCCTCTAGAGGGAGGGTCCAGCCTTCGGGACTAAGCAAGCCTTCCAGGTGACTCTGATGAACCCCTAAAATGTAACTGCTTTTAGGGAACAACAGAAACAAACAAAAAACAAAAACAGATGAAACAGAAGGGGAATGAACGGGAAACTCGATCGAGCAGCTAGGTTGTGGTAAGGAACAGCTTTGTTAAGCCCAGTCCCTACAGAAAAACAGTCTTTTGGGGTTCTTATTTTACTGAGAATCTTTATCAGACCAGAAGTATGCCAACCATTTAAAAGCTAACGAAATGCTTAATGATGAACAGCACTGACAGTATTCAAATATCTAGTGATAGCTTTTTCTTTCCTACTGACCTGACGACCATTCTTGAAGCTTAGAGCTAGCTGTATTTTACCTGTTGGATAAGAGAAACATAAGTAGACTACAATAGATACAGAAGGAAAGTTAAAGAGCTTGAGATGCCTAGAAACAAAGCCTTTGCAGTGCTTGAGTTAACACTGTGAGACACATGACAGTAAGCCAGTCACCGCCTGTGTGGGAGGCTGCATTTATCTCCCAGGGCGACTCTTATTTTTTGAGCATATGAAAATCTTTGTTAACTATATTTTATGAACAGCCCAAGTACACTGTACAATAGAAATGCTGTTGTATGTCTATTATGAATAAATCGGGAGTGAAAAAGGTGGGGAAAGAAATTCTGCAATTTTTTGCTAGGTAAACAGCCACTGTTGGTACACAACCAAAAGCATGGAGTTTCTTTTGTATTTATGCTCATAAATCTTCTGCGATCTGTGAGAATTGTGAAAACATTCCTATTGCTTTTGATCTTTATCCTCGTGGGACTTTTTCTCTGAGTTCTGTAGGACAACTTTAGAGCAGTCTAGATTGGCAAGGAATGAGAGGCCTCTATGATGAAATTCATAGAACAACGAAGAAAGAAATGAGAGACACTAGATGGAAAGACAGCCTTGTTCATGGATTGGCTGAAGTGATCTGTAGATTTAACACAATCTCTATTGAAATACCAACAACATTCCTCACAGAACTAGAAAAAAAAAAAACCCACAATTCATATGAAATTCAAAAAGGCTCAGAATAGCCAAAGCAATCCTGAGCTACAAGAGCAATGCTGGAAGTTTTCGATTCCGTGTTATATTACAAAGCTACAGAAACTCAATGACATGGAACTGGCACAAGAACAGACACGTAGACCAGTGGAATAGAGGACACAGAAACAAACTACTACACCTGCAGCTATCTGACTCTTGCAAAGGGGCCAAAAACTAAGTTGGAAAAAAACCTCTTTAATAAGTGGTGCTGGGAAAACTGGATATCTACAAGATCTATTGATAAAAGATCAAAACTGGATCCCTATCCTGCATAAAGATCACTCTGAAATGGATCACAGACCCTAGATACAAGACCTGAAACATTGAAACCACTAGAAGAAAGTAGAAGGGAAACACTTGAAGCCAGAGGCACAAAGATTTCCTGAATAGGACTCTACTAGCATACAAACTAATAGCAAGAATCAACAAGTGGAAAAAAACAAATTAAAAAAAAAAAATCAATCAGAAATGGAAGCACATCAAATTAAAAATTTTCTTTCTTGGTGGGGAGGGGAGGGGAGGGTGAAGGGAGGACAGGGACAAGGGGAAAAAATGAGAACCAAGACCTGGCATGTAAAGGTACAAGATCCCAATAATGAATGTAACTGTACTGTCTACCTAGAATGTACCAATAAATTAAATTAAAAAATTTTTTTTCTTTCTTTTTAAATTCTGCAGCACTAAGGATTGAACCCAGGGTCTTTGAATTGAACTATACCCTTGACCTTTTTTTAAGTCACAAAATTCCCAAATTCATCAGGCTGGGATCAAAGTTTTGATCCTCCTGCCTCAGCCTCCCAGAGTGCTAAGATTATAGGTGTGCACTACTATTCCTGGCTTCAATTTATAAAGTTTCTAGCCAGTGTAGTGGAGCACGCCTATAATCCCAGCACTTGGTAGACTGAGGCAGGAGGATCGCTGTGGGTTCAAAACCAGCCTGGGCTACATAGTGAGTTCCAGGTCCGTCTCAACTACATAGTGAGACCCTATCTCAAAAAACAAAAAAACAAAACAAAACAAAAAGTTTCTGCATAGCAAGGGAAACAGCTAAAGGAGTGAAGAAACTCAAATGTAGCACCAAGAAAATCAGACATCACAATTGATAAATGGGCAATGAATTAAACATACAATTATTAAAGGAAGTACAAGTGACCAGTAAGTATATTTTAAAAATGTTCAAATCTTTAATCATCACGGAAGTACAAATCCAAATTATATTAAGATTCTATATCACCCGAGTCAGATGACTATGATCAAGAATATAAAACACATGCTGGGGATGGTGGCGCACACCTGTGATCCCAGCTCTGGGCTCAGGAGGCTGAGGCAGGAGGCTCATCAGGAGTTTGAGGCTAGCCTGGACTACGCAGTGAACTCGAGTCCAGCCTGAACTATACAGAAAGACCCTGTCTCAAAAAAAAAGAAGAAGAAGCTTGAGCCTAGCCTGGGCAATTTAGTGAGACCTCGTGTGTGTGTGTGTGAGAGAGAGAGAGAGAGAGAGAGAGAGAGAGAGAGAGAAAGAGAAAGATCAGGAAAAATAAAGGAAAAGAGACGGAGGGCTGGGATGTAGCTCGTGTGAAGGGTCTTGTTTCAGATCCCAGCGCAGAGGAAAAGGGTGAGGGCTCAATCTTACTTATTCATTGGTTGATTTTCCTAATCCGGAGCCTTGTGTCAGAAGAGTACGAACAGAGTCAGAATGACTGGATCTGATGCTGTAGGGCCAAGGGTGCTGCATAGCAGTACAGCACCTGCCTAGCATGTGAGGCCCTGGCTTTGATCTTTAACATCAGAAGAAATCTATTAAGTAGATTTTCGAGTGTATCTTAAATTCAAATAGAGTAACATTACATCGCAGACATGTGCCAATAAAAATAAAAATATAAATGAAAGATACAGAAACAAAAATTCTTACCACAGGTCTCCTTTCGGATCTGTGATGAGTGACGCAGTGATCCAGCAAACTGTCTTCATCCAATTCCCTCTGACAAAATGGACAGACGCACCTAGAAAGTGCACAAAGTTACAAACATCCCTAAAATCACTGGCAGCTACACAGTAGTTACTTCCTTGAAAATCTTTTCTTAAAATTACAATACAGGTGGATGTACTCTCTTATCCTAGCTCTCCAAATTTGATTTTATTTTTCTTGTCCTGGTAAGTGCCTAAATATTTCCCCAGAAGAAATCTCAGTACCTTTCCTCAGAGAGAGAGACAGAAACAATTACTGTAAACCACCCCACGCCCATACTGGGAATTGAACTCAGGACCTTGCACTTGCCAGGCAGGCACAGTGCCACTGAGCTACAGCCCCAGCCCACAACTATAGTACATCTGAAGCACTTTATTTGGTTTGGCAGAGAAGTGCAATCTGAGCACTTAGGAACTGAAAATCTAAGGATCGCAGCACCTAGCTGTCCCTGGATCTCCTCATCTTTTTCTTTTTTCCTCCTTTTCCTAATTCAAGTAACATCTGAATGGGATGTTTTTTGTTCTCCAACTCTACAAGCATAACCAGGGCTGGGGAGTTAGCTCAGTGGTTCTGCTGCCTACCTCGCAAGCGCCAGGTCCCAAGTTCGAGACCCGGTACCCCCCCCAAAAAAAAACCCCAAAAAACAAAAAAACAAGCATAACCAGACTTGTCAGCTCACATTCTAAATTTCTATGGACAAATGAAAACTCACCTGCAGCTGTCCTAATGCACACTTCACAGTCAGTGTCCCTTACATTTGTGCTGCTGCCCAATGTCTCCAAAGCGACAGAAACCTGGCTATTCCAACGTAAGGTATGCTGGAAGTATGCTGAAACACACACCAACTGAACACAAGGCTTTGAGCACACCAAACAAGCACTCGACATCTGAGCTACATCCCTAGCCTACACATCGAATTTTGAAACTTAATGTCAAAAAGAGAACGTGAGCTATCCCCATAATTCTTATACTGATTACAAGTTCACATGATGTTTCAGCTACATTAGGTTCAAAACATATCTTAAGTTCATTTTGCCTGTTTCCTTCTACTTCTTAAAATATTGTTACTAGAAAATTTTAAATTACACATGATACGTTGTTTCTGTTGGGTAAATACTTAGGAAAATATGTAGACTTGGATTTTTTTTAAATATGGCAAACGTTTAAATTTTTTCTTGTCTCTCTAACAAGAAAACATTTAAATTTTTAAAAATGATTACAGCAAAATACAAATTGCCATTAATGTGCCCCCAAAATCTGCCCCCACACTTCCAACACACTTATCCCACATTCTTGCCACTTTCTGAAGCAGTTCTGGACCACTTCTTTCAGCAGCGTCTTCAGTTGCACCGTCACGGTGCCTCCCAAAACATTTACCTTCCGTGGTCATTCTGACTTCAGGGAAGACCCAGAAGTCACATGGGGTCAAATCTAGTGAACAAGGTGGCCAAGAATACACCACAATGTTTTTTTGTTTATTTGTTTTGGGTCTGGTTTTTTTTGTTTTTTTTTTTTGACAGAAATTGCCAGATATATTTTGATTCAGGACATTGAGGAAACCACAGAATGACACTCATGAAAGAGGACTTCCAGTGCTAGGCATGACGGCCTGTAATCCCAGCACTTGGGAGGCTGACACAGGAGGACTGCTGTTGAGATCGAGGCCGGCCTGGGCTACCTGGTGAATTCAAGACCAGCCGGAACTACCTAGTGAGACCCTGTCTCAAAACCGCCCCCAAAAGGATGACCTTCAGAACTGCTTCAGAAAGTGACAAGAAAGAGTAGATAAGTATGTCAGAATCAGGGGTCAGTATTTTGAGAGGGACTCACGGCACTGTATCTTTTATTGTAATATTTTTTTTTAATTTAAGCATTCACTGTATTTTTTTTTAATCACACCACATAGATACAACTTCCTGTTCCTCAACACTTGTACTCTAGATAAATTTCTTGTGCAAGGGTTTAAGATTTGAATCCTATAGCAAATGCTCATATGAAGTAAAGATTGCTATCATAAATGAAAATATGAATCTAACCTATAAGACTATTAACAACCCTCCCAATTTTCTTTTCTGTGGTGTTAGAAATTAAACCAAGGGCCTGACATGTGCTAGGAAAGTGTTCTAACACTGAACTATGCCCCATCTATTGCTTAAATTCTTTGTGATGTAGTTCTAACCAGCAAAACAAATTGGGATTTAAATTAGTTTGTATATAATTTTAAATTTTTCATAAAGCTCATCAATCTTGCTATCAATCCCACACACTTTCTCAAACCATTTGTTATCTTTACTTCCTACCAGTCCCTGTGGTCAATCTAGCAGAATCCTCGCACTACATACAGCTAAAATAGCCATATAAAATTTGTATCACCATAGTATAAAACGAATGCTACAAGAACAGGTATGTTTGCAAGGCAAACTTTGGTACAACAAAGAAGGGGCTGATCCTTTACACTTTCAGCCTAAGACATTTAAGCTCTATTGTGAATATATTTAAGTAGAACTAACATTTTTCTACAGGAAAGAAAACTTACACTAACTACCAGTATTGGGAAGCTGAGTTCACGAGTACGTATAATAGTTTGTTTGTTTGTTTTTTTCTTGGTTTTTTGAGACAGGGTCTCACTATGTAGTTGAGACTGACCTGGAACTCACTAGGTAGTCCAGGCTGGTCTCGGACTCACAGCAATCCTCCTGCCTCAGCCTCCCAAGTGCTGGGATTATAGGCATGCACCGCCACGCCCGGCAAGTACATGTAATAGTTTCACCATAGGTAGGAGAGCACAAAGCATTTATTTATTCTGCAAGGGGGAAAGACTTCAAACTTTGCAATTATTCTGATACAGCTAAGTTACCTTTTCTGTCAAGAGTAATGACCTATATTTGTATTTTTTTCTTTTTTTAAAGAAAAAAATGGTTAATGGTCAACAGCCCCATTACACTGAGTAGCACCTCCATCCTTCTTCCACGTAAGAACACCCACCAGAAAGGCTAAGGAATCAGAATACCTGCCCAGGCCTGTCCCTCCCTTGTTCAAATACACACTGAGATGTCACTTCCTACTGTCTAAAGGGAAACTAGCAAAATGAGAGAACAACTGAAAAACTGAGCAGAGGTAATGGTGATGCAAGAGCAAAGATAGATCAATCGTTTAATCACAATCTCCCTCAGGAATCTTGTTAGTCCGAAAACAGAGGCTAGAAGAAATCTAAGAGTTCTGCGATCCATTTTTGGATCTTCCTTAATATAAATTTGTCTCAGGAAGTTGCTCCAATGTTTCTAATGTGTGGTTTAGTTCCTTCCCTCTACCTAGTTTTTCTTTGTTTATTTCTTTTTGGTTTTTGGTATCGTGACTCGAACTCAGGACTTTGAGCTTGTCAGGCAGGCGTGACATCACGGAGCTACGTCCCTGGCTCTCCACCCAGTTTTTAAAGTAGAACAAAATTCTTTGACAAGATTACTATTCTGAAATAAATACCAGTAACCAGGAACTATAGTTGAGAGCCATTCACTTTCATAATGAAAATCTCCCCAGCCCACAGAGGTATCAAGCTTAGCACTGCATTATATGGAATTAAAGCAAACCTTGTTGTCTCAAGTTCTTGTAGTGGTCCATAGGTGTCAATGTACTTCTCACAGGTCCTTATGTGTGCCCTCATCTCACTAAGACAAACCTATGAAAAGCAAACCCAAAATAAACTCACTGTTGAAAGGAGGCTTTCTATGATCCAGCTTTATAACTTTAAATAAAGTCATACTGTGGGGTCAGTTGCTTGCATAGATGAATTCATGAAACAGTGCCACAAAGTCTAGGCATTATCTAGGATAATACTATATTTAGGGTTCTCCAATACTATGAAGACCCAAATGTTGAGCTTTTCAGCTTAGTTCTTCTAAAATTATATATATATATAAGTGAAAAGATGTATAGTAACTAAGAAATGGTTTTTGCATGCTGTCCTTAAATAGGTTTTGGAAAAAAAGGAAGAGAAAGAACAGTGGGTGAAGAAGAAGAACTAGGAGGAGAGAAGCAAAAAATTGAGAGGAGAAACTATGTAAAGAAGAGAAATAAAGAAATAAGAAAAGTAAATCCATGAATGTTAGGTGTTCACATTAAGTTAAAAGAGCTCCTATGCCTCAGGCCGAGATATAAATACCATGGTCTTATAACATAGCCACTAGTATTGCATGAATTCACCTTGCACAATATACTTAACAGACCCATTAAGAGCAAACAGGAAAGACAGCTCTTGCAGTCCATTTTTGTCAGTGCAGAATAAAGAGGCCTTGCTCTTCCAGACATACATTCAGAGAGTTTCACCGTGAGGGGTCCGTGGCTAACATAGCACATATTCTCCTAAAGGTTTCATTAGGGACTCTGATAAGATCTTGGACCAAAGGAAGCTCTGTACAGTTGCAGAGCCATGGTTGACCCACGTTGCTTCCTTTCTCCCCAGCTACAGAAGCTCAACCTCAAACACTAAATCTACCCCGCCAAGGAAACACTCAGAATTGTTTAACAAAAGGCAAAACCAAAAGCTGGTGGAAAAGTAAAAGCAGAATCCTCAATTTACAAATACCCACCTAAAACACATGGAAATTAGCACTGACCTAGGGGGATGGATTTCAGCAGCTATGTTTTATAACCTTTAACATCCAACTTTGCACATTAAAGAAAGTTCTTTCATCTCTTTACTACTTCTAATAAAATAGTTCTTCCTCTGTGTTCCCTTGTTTGACAAAGATAAGCGAGCCGGGCATGGTGGCCCGCCTGTAATCCCAGCACTCAGGAGGCTGAGGCAGGAGGATCGCTGTGAGCTGGAGACCAGCCTGGGCTACATAGTGAGTTCCAGGTCAGTCTCAACTAAACAAAAATAAGCGTTCCTCTGGGAAATCAGCAATCTGTGGACTGGTACCTTAAGACACAGAGTTGCAGAAGCACTGTAAGAGATGGCAGAAGAAATACAGGCCACATGCCTGCTGTCACAGTGCTTAGAATCTACTAGAAGAGAGGGGTGTGGGGACAGGTAGATGGGATGTTGCTTCTAATTGGATATCAGAACACTAAGCCCCAGGCCTCATGAAGGGGTGAGCTTGCCTGGACTCCGAGGAAGAGGTGGAGCATGAAATGGCCAGGGAAGGAACGGGCAGCGTTCCTGGCGAAAGAGAGGCATAAGAGGGAAGAGAGAGCCACAAGTGATGAATCAGATATCAGATTTGAGGGAGTGTGAAAAAGGGAAGGAGACTCCGATCATAACCGGGAACTGTGAAAATACACCGGCAATGAGTAAGAAGTTCTGATTATGTGCATGGGAAACTTTGTACGAGATAAAATAAGCAAAAGTGAACAATCATCTAGTACCAGGAATGTAAGACGTTTTGATTTTTGGCATTTTCAGTTCCAGAGACTGTGCCAGACAGCCTTGTAATGTGAACATTTTTCTTTTCACTTTACAACAAAAGATGAAGAAAAACTGAGATTAATAACTTGCCCCAAATCACAAAGACTGAGAACCGGCATTTGACCTCAGGATGTCTGACCCCAAAGGGACTGTGCACAAATACCAGTCAGGCAGCCATGAATAAATGATCAGGGCCTTACACAGCTGCTCAGCAATGCATGTAACCCTTGCCATGCGCTGATCACTCTAAAGTGCTGGCTGTGCTGCTGGGGAGGTGCCATGAAGCACAGCCACCTTTGTCCCCAAGGGCCTGGCTGCGGCTGACAGGTGGGAGGGGGCCACACAGGTGTGTAGGGCAAGAAGGTAGCTGGAAAACAGCCTATCGAAGACGGTGAGGGCATTGCCTAAGAATCGGGGGCATGGGTCACTGTCAGGAGGCGGGACAGGAAATGCCCCGCCATTTGGCACCAGGGGGGGTCTTCCTGCCACCACTGTCAGAATTAACTTCTCAGGGCCTATGGGTGGCAAGAAGATGCCCAGCTCCCACACCTTCCAGTTTCCCCCCTGCTTCTCTGTGGCAGAGGAGCCAGGTAGCCACCTTGTACATAGACTGCTGGGCATTAGGTTTAATTCGTTTGCTGTGTTTTGTTTTGTTTTTGAGACATGGTCTCACTATGTAGTTGAGACTGACCTGGAACTCACTATGTAGCCCAGGCTGGTCTCAAACTCACAGTGATCCTCCTGCCTCAGCCTCCCAAGAGCTGGGATTACAGGCGTGGGCCACCACACCCGGCTCTGTTTGCTGTTTTTTTAAAAAATTCCTTTTTTAGTTTCCTGTTCTGGGTGAACGATTACTTGAAAAGTTTCAAGTTGCAAAAAAGAAGACATCTTTTTTTTTTTTTTTTTTTTGGTACAGGAAATTGAACTCTCGTCCTTGTGCTTTCAAGGAAGATGGTGGAACCACTGAGCTAAATCCCCGGCCCTCAAAAAAAGAAAAGAAAAGTGCTGAGCATAGCTGTCAACAAAACAGACACTGTTCTTTCCCCTCTCGGAACTCCAATCTGGTGGGAATAACAAAACAGCAACAACAAAAAAGGTTAATCACAAATGGTGTTAAGTGGTATCAAGGGAAAGCACAGGCTGCCGTGAGAAAAAACAACATGGCTTAAATGACAAGGTTCTCGAAAGAAATCTAGATACTTAACACACACTCTCTTCTCTTTGGATCTCCAGGGTTGGAGATGCAGCTATGTGATCCTGCAGCTGTTTAGCAGGGGCAAGGTCGGGTTTGTTCCCCAGCAACTCCCGGAAACAGCACTGATCTCTCGACTGCGATATCTAAATAGCCCACCAGCGTCTCCACTCGGCAGATCAAACCATCTATCCAAACACGTGACATAACACCCAGTAAGATACCCAGAACTTTACTGTGTTGATCCTTCTCCAAATACGCTGCTCAGATTAGCGCTCGCTTAAACATGTCACTTTTCTCTTGCTCCTACATTCATTCACTTACCAATTCCTTCACTAATATTCCTCAGAACAATCTCTTCTTGCATCGCTAATGCTATGACCCTAATCCACTTTCCTTACCTGACCTACTGCTTCCAGCCTCGGAAGGCTGCTTGGCTCCCTCTGAACCCTCCCGTGCACATACGCTAGCGAGATACCTTCAACGTGTAAGCCCGGACCTGCACTCCAAAGCTTACACTCTGCATGGCCCACTGTTTCATTTAGGATGAAGTCCACACTCTCTCACATGTCCTCCGAGACCTCCTATGATCAGACCCCCTAGAATAACACCAAGAATGACAAACTGCAACAAGGAAGTGACTGATAAATATCCCCAAGACCAGGATAATAAAGGCGAATGCTACCGGATTGGAGAAGGAAGCTTCCTTGCTAGGCTGCCACAGAACAGCAGGGTGGAGGCCAGGCAATAGGGGAGCACCCTAGTAGGGAGAGGAGAGGGAGGCAGTCAATGAAAGCTTTTGAAAAATTAGGTGAAGACAGAAGTTCAAGGGACTGTTTATTTGAAAGTACAGAAAAGTGGGGAGGCTGAAATGAAAACACGTTAGAAGGATGCGGTCAAGTCTAGGTGAAATGGAAATATTCTCAGGGACCTAAGTCAGCAACACCACACGCAGGGAGTCACATACCAGGGCGTCGCACTCGGTGCAGTTCTGGTACTCCGACTTCATCCTCCTGGCCACGTCCGTCGCCGGAACTCCTTCTGAGGGAAGATATGCCCGGCAATAGGGACAGGTCCACTTGTTCTTGAGACTGGCAGCGATACAGGAACGGCAGAATCTACCCCAAACCCACCAAGAACACATCACTCTCACGGAAAGACACAAAGGAGCCCCCCCCGTGTTTGTGGTGGCTGTGATTTACTGACACCTTGCACGCTACGAACCACATTATCTGGTGATCGAGGTCCGCTTACCTTCCCAGTTAAGACACATTCTCACCACGCGCACTTGCACACATTTAAACCAAAGAACACAAAGTGGGTGAGAGGATTACTACAAACTGGAGTTAAAACTGCAACTCAGCTGGAACAACGACACACGCTTGTGGGCTGGGGATGGAGCTCAGTGGCGCCGTACCTGCCTGGCGCACACAAGGTTCTGCTTTCGATCCCCTGTACCACAAATAAATAAATTAATAAATAAAAGATACACGCTCGTAATTCCAGCTACTCGGAAGGCTGAGGCAGGAGGATTGCCAAGTCTCAGTCCAGTTCAAGCAGCTTAAAGACTTATTGAGGCCCTGTTTCAAAAAAGGTAGTGGCAGAAGTGGGGGGCACGGGGGCGTAGAGGCAAGGGGGTAGAGGACGGGGATGTAGCTCTGTACCAAGATTCCAGGTTCAATCCCAAATGTGAAAAAAAGAAAACTGCAGCAGAGTTTGGGGAATAGCTCAGTGGCAGAGGGCTTGCCCGACGCTTCCAAGGTCCTGGATTCACCACCAGCATGGGGAGTGGGGAGAAAAGAAAAAAGCCACAAATTGAAGAAGTAAACGTATAAAACACTTTATGATTCTTTATTTAAACATTTTTTAAAAACTAAAGTCATCCCGTTATAGAAAATTATCTAATCAAAATTACTAGTTTGAGTGTCCTGAGTCAAGAAATATATGCTCTGAGTTATTTAAAGATGATTCTAACAAAATAAACACAAAGCACAGTATTCACAGAAAACCCTGGCATTTTGAAGGCATGAGGGTGGAAATAAGCATTTGGATAAGCCGTTCACATTAGCATGACCGGTTAGCTCCTAAACTCCTGAACATCACACCTATTTAGGAATATTAGCACAGGTCAAAGGCTAAACTTTTTAAATGTCAGTATCCTATACACAGTAACAAGTACCTGTGACAGGCATAATCTGGTTAAGTGACTTTGCACCCAATGAACACACCAGAGCCAGCACCCATGGGAAAAAAGAGCTTGGCCACACGGCGGGCTCCTCCCCCTCCTATTTCCTTCCAGCCACGGTTCTAATCTCTTCCAGGTCATCACTGACTCTTAAAAGTAACATATACGGGGCTGGGGATTTAGCTTAGGGGTGCTGCCACCTGCCTTGCAAGCACAAGGATCCAAGTTGAATCCCCGATACTAAAAAAAAAAAAAAGTGGCATACATGTCCCGTCCATCTACAGAAATGTGCATTTATCAAATGTTTTACCAATCCACAGACCACAGCTTTGTCATCCCTGCTTATGATCCTTCAAGACTATGACCACTGACTTCTAACAACGAAGACCAGTACTTCCCATAAAGGAAAACTTTGGTGCACACTGTTTTTTTGGTACCAGGGATCGAACCCAGGCCCTTGCACTTGGGAGGTAGGCCGGGAATCCCTGAGCCAAATCCCTAGCCTGGTATACACTCTTTGCATCTGCTTTCTTTAGCTCACTATTATGATCAAGAGCTTCGTCATGCTGTGGCATGGAGTCAAGATGGCGCATTCTAGTTTTGTGATGTCTGCTGTGTGAATACACCACAATTCATTTCCCATTCTATTGCTAATGGGCATTGGGGTAGCTTTTTTCCCCCATTAGGTTTATTGGCACATTTAAAGCAAACAATAGTTACATTTATCATTGGGATCTTGTACCTCTTTACACGATCTATCTTGGTTCTTGTTTTTTTCCCATAGCCCTGCCCTCCCTTCACCCTTGGGTAGCATTTAAAAGCGTTTCCATAATCGATTTTAGTAATGGATAAGCACAGCTATCTTCCAAATCTTCCTGTTCTTTTTCTCCTTTAACTCTCAGTTATATAGGCCATTAGACTTAGAAGTATTCCCTTCTGTGTCTGTTATCAATTACAAGCACATAAAGGATACTTAATGTTAGCCTGGGCTGGAAGCACCTTGATGTTTAAGCCTGGCCCAGCAGTGACTCCCCGCTTTTCTTGCTATAGCATCTTGCTTTTGACTGTGGAACTACTCATCTATCTGGTGCAATCTCACTGGGACCCCAGTTAAATTCCGTCCTCTTCCCCTCTGCCCCACGATGTCTGACTTGATGCAGACCTGGCCCTGAGAAGCCTCCCGGAAGTGGAGTTTGGAACCGGATATGACGTTTGAGGCCACAGCAACTCCACTGGACTGGCCTGCTCTTCCTGAGAATCACAGCTCAGATCCCTACCCTCTTCTTTTTTCTTTTGTTAGTGTTTGGTAACTTTTACGTTTGACATTACTCCAAATTTGATTCACTGGTTCTTCTAAAAAATTTGTAATTTCGGCCAGACATTGTGGCGCACACCTGTAATCCCAGCACTGGGGAGGCTGAGGCAGGAGAATCACTGTGAGTTCGAGACCAGCCTGGGCTACACAGTGAGTTCTAGGTCAGTCTCAACTACATAGTGAGACCCTGTCTCAAAAAAAAATTGTAATTCCTTTAATTCCTGTAGCTCAAGTGGGGCCAAGCCTGCTTGGCAAGCTCAAAGTCTTGAGTCTGATTCCTGGTACCAGAAAAAACAAAACAAAACACCTGAGTGGGGGCTGGAAATATAGTAGAGTGCTTGCCCTTGTTTCAATCTCTAACAAATGAAAAATCAAAGCCTGAGAAAAATCAACATTTCCCTTTACATATGAGGAAATTGAGTTACACAGACGGTAAGTAACTTCTATCAATTGATATATATAGAAAATGTCTGAACTTGATCGGTCCTAAGCTGGGCTTTTGTCTTTGTCTTAGGGTTTTTGTTGTTGTTGTTTTGTTGTTGTTGCTGTTTTGAAACAAGGTTTCACTATGTAGTCCAGGCTGGCCTTCAATTCACTATGGAGCCCCAGCTGGGCTCAAACTCATGTCCGCCCATCTGCCTCAGACCTCCCAAGAGCTGCAATCACAGGTGTGGTCCACCACGCAGGGCTGAGCTGGGTTTTTCCCAAACTGCAGTAGCTGTTCGCTCTACCATGACAGGGGTCCCCAGGTGAAAAGAGCAATGTCTTAGGAATAAAGCGGCCTGAATCCTATACTGTCTCTCGTCTCTCTACTCTAAGTCCTAAGGTGTGTGCTCACTTCGGCAGCACATACTCTAAATTCTAAGGCAAATCTGCCCGTCCATGCTTATGAGACTTGGTTCTCAAAGACTAGTATTTCTTTGCCTCAAAGTATAGTCTTGAAGGATATTGCATTGTTGCAAATACTCAACTTTTTTTTTTTCCTTTCGTGGTTCTGCAGACTGAACCTAGGATTCCCCCTACCCCAGCACTGGATTAATCTCAGGGCCCCTGAGCCTGTAGACAAATGCTCTGCCACTAAGCTAAGACTCCTCAACTCCAAAACAACATGCAGCATTCAACCCCTGTAGACTGATGTGAATTATTTTGCTTACGTTGTTTAGAAGCAAGCAAATTAAATTTGGGGTTGTATGAACTAAACGTTTCCCTCATGTTCTCACAGCTTAGTTTTGCCCCATCCAGGCAGAAGTTAGGTATCAGTGTGGTGCGCTACGGCAAGCACTTGGACACATCACCCATTTCCCCCGCAGGACTTGCTTTCCTCTCATTTTCCCCGTGGTAAACGAGAGCTCAGCGGAACAATGTGCCACATTTACTCAGCAGACACAGTCGTGCGCGAATGTGCAGTTTCACTAGGGCCTCAACGTTTGTAGTCTTCTTGAAGGCATCTCACCGTGTTTTCCCCAAAATAAGACCTAACTGAAATAACCAGCCTAGCAAACTAGAGACCCCACAGTGAGCCTCAGGCAGCCTTTGCTTGCCTTACCTGGCCTCACTGTGCTCTTGCTCAGTGGCAGGTAAGGCAAGAAAAGGCTGCCTGGCCCTGGCACTCTTGATCAATTATTGCTGATTATTTTCCATGTAAGTTTTATTTTCTGGGAAGCAGTAATTCCTCACAGTGACAGAAGCAGCAAGATATAAAAATCAGCGGAGAGGTGTGGTAGCACACACCTATTACGCCAGCACTCAGGAGGCTGAGTCAGGAAGAGTTTGAGGTTGGTATAGACTACCGACTGAGTTCAAGACCAGCCTAGAATACATGGAGAAACTCTTATCTCAGCTCTCCACCACCTAAAAGTCCATGTATCTCCTGGGTTCAAGGCCTGGTACTGAAAAACAAAAAAGATCCTGGGGGAAAGAGTTCAATGGGAGAGGACTGGCCTCAAATGCACAAGGCTTTGGGCTTGCTCTCCAGCACTACAAAATAAAAACAGATGAAAAGAACTGACCTTGGGTTAATATCATGCATGCTGACATAAGAGACAGAATGTGCTAAAATATGCAGCTTACTTTAAAATGCTTAAAAAATAAGATGGCTGATGACTTCATAGGAATGTGATAAAGATTAAAGCAATTACAGCAAACTGTTAAGTGATTACATCAACTGAACAAGTTGGTTATGAGAAGCTTAACTAAACTGCTCAGCAATTACACACCCCAGGGTGTGGGAGATCCAGCCCAGGGCAGCTCCAGGCCGGGAAATGAGGACGAGGGAGCTTCTGTTCCTTCATGCCAGGGGCTGCCATCTTTCCCTTGGAGGTCACCTCAGCAGACTCTTCGGCTTCCCACACAGAGGGATCTTTCAGCCTTCCTTCTGGGACTGACCCATCGGCCTCCTCACACAGACTTGGCACGGGACACCGCAGGGAGCGCCAGGCCTTTGACAAAGCCCTTGGGTCTCCAGTGTGCACAGTCCCTCCGCACTCTTCTCTCCGACTCTGGTGGCCTCTTAGACCAATCGTGCAAGCTCTTACCTATCTATATATCTTGTGTCTTCTATTTCTCTAGTAAATACTGACTGATACGCTGTGGACTACAGCAGTGGTTACGTGGGCACT